GAATATTGATAATTGATTGTTATACTTTTTGAAGGATGATTCACCAGTTTAGGAACGGATATTTTGAAATTGGAAGTCGCATAATTCTGGTGCAGCTATCAACACTTTTAAAGCATAACTTTCCTTGTCATCACCTGTGTCAATCAATGTATAATTGCGACTTAATCAATATTTTCCTATTGGCATTACAGTTGAACTAGGTTAAGATATATGTTTATTTTGCAAACGAGTATTCGTTTGTATCACGGCTTTTATTGCTGTGTTATATCTCTCTCAATGTACTATGGAATTTTATTTTAACTGTTCTGTATAAACGTTATGCTTTGTGATGTATTTATGTTCATGTTTATTTAGGGCCCCATGGAAGACCAGGGCACTAATGTCCTTTGACAAGACATTGATCTACATTTGCCACTCTCCACCCAGGTGCTCGCTGCATAGGCCAACAACAATGATCAAAAGTGAAATTATTGTTTTTCAGATTTGATAATATTACTGTACGTTAAACACAAATGGTATAATGAAAGGTATAGATAGGATTATTTTTTTCTCGTTTGTTTGTTGTTATTGTTTGTAAAACAAATATATAGCTTTTGAAGAAAAAATACTTGTTTGATAAATAATAATCGTTTGACGTTTGCAATCATTTTGTAATTTTGTAGTACTGGATATGCTTGTTACACCCTGTCCTATAGCTTCCATCAATCCTCCGTTTGCCTATAGTCTTTAGATATCCATTTGAAATGATGTCATGTGTTTAATACGTCCCCGCTTTCTTGAGAAAAATGTTTTATAATGATGCAGAAAATGGCCTTAATCTTTAATTGCCATTGATCGATTTCGAAAATCGCCTTATTTATTTATTCATTTATTTATTTCTAATCTTTTGTCAGGGTAGCTCATTCACCAATAAGTAGTGGTGTTCAATGGGGCCCTAACTAATCATGAACATATATATTACAGATAGTTCATTAAACTATGGCGTGCAACAGAAGTCACGACCATTCCCATTAAGCTAGTTGGCGGAAACATCATGCCAATAAGATCCAAACACGTGACCGGTACTCTCGTCAATCTGCCAAAGATAAGCTGTCCATAATCTTACATCTTTAAACATTAAACACGAAATCGCGATTCTGAGTGGTTGAAAATCGAGTTGCGATTAAAAATGTTGGGAGCCCCAAATTAGTTAAAATTTGATGGCCAATTTTCACTTAAATTGTATCAGAATGTCAAAGAGGATTTAATTTAAGACACACTTCTGCAAAGAAATCTCTCTAAAAAAACACTTTTTTCGGACAAAGAGAGAGAGAGAGACAGAGAAAGAGAGGGAGAGGGGGGGGGGGTAGATGTGTTGAGGATGATGATGATGGTGGTGGTAATGATGATGGTGGAGACAGAGAAAGAAAGAATGAGTGACCTGCCAGTGTCACAAATGAGGTATCAAAATATGCTCATCTGCCCGTAATTAAACGCCGAATCTCTGCCCGCTGGAAAACCCCATTGAGCCCTAATAGTGCGGTATGGTAGGTAATCCCGTAGGATTTTTGTGCCAAAATTATTTTTTTGCTGTTTTGGCTTCAAAAGGGTCCCAATTGACCAAAAATGATGGGGTCCAGATTTTCAGACCCCTCCTTCATTTCCTGGGGGGTCCTAAACCGGGAGCCAGTGGGGGTCAACCTAGCTGGGAAGGAAACCAATTTTAATGTGCACAGATATAAAGATCGCATAGCTCCACATAACAAAAATGACCGTCTGGCATGTTCTAAGTGGTGGGTGTGGCCAGGGGGACGCCCCCACCAAAAAAGTGTCCCTTTTGACGACAAAATAGTATTATGTGAATAATATTTTAACGAAACCTTGAACCACCATAAGTTTGGTGTCATAGTAAGAGAGTAAATTATCTACATTTTGCTACCAATTTCAAAGAATTTGGGATTAATAAACATCGCAAATTTAAGTAAAAAACATGATTTTTGTGATTTTTTTTCTCGAAAAATTTAATTTTATAAAAAAACATTATTTCCATATATCGAAATTGGAGAATTGCATTTTTTCATAACTTTCCAGGAATTTGCTTATGTACAATGACAAGATCCTGTGCCAGGGAAAGGTTTATATATCGTTTCAATAAAAAGTTATAGCAATCCAAAGTTATTGATTTGATTTTCACAAAAACAACATTCTTGCCCACATGTGTAATAACTGTGTGCATATACGTGCATTAGTGTATTAAGGACCTGTTTGGTGTATTTACATCGAGTTTTAAAGATAACTTTGAACTAAAACCTCTAATCACCATGTATTTGGTGTCAAAAGATGGATAATTAAAATACCTTCATTCTGATATCAATTTCAATGAGTGATGTAGTGTGTGTAATATAAATTTTGAGCCAAAAAGGGGCTTTATTGTAGATCATTCCTCTGATTTTTGCCAGTATATCGGTATATTAACTGGACAAAGGTGATTAGACATTTAGTAGTGCAGAAAGTTCAAAGGATTTAGAGCGCTGAGTGCAATTGATAAGTTCTTCTCCTGTACTATGGGCGTTTCAGGAAATGTGGACATTGGCAGTTGCCTCCCCCCCCCCCACCCCCACCCCCACCCCGCCCTTTCCATCCGCTTGTCATAATCTTGCCAATGTCTAAGACAAGTTAGTGCATCGATCAACATGAATATAATATAATATCGCCATATTTGGTTTAATGGTTTATTTTGCCTGACTACTAAGAAAACACGTGTATGCTTGTAAGCAACCAATACTCCGCATAATTCCTATTGTGATAAGATTACAATGACATAAACTTTTCTCAAAAAATAGTTTCGGCCAGGTATGCAAAGTTATTTTTTTCTCTCGAATACAAGTAATTCGGTACAAAAATCGAAGGAACATAATGAAACTACTTGATTCGATTGAATCTCAGTTTTAGTCTTTGTGTGTTTCAAATAGGAAGTTCCAGAACTACAATTGAGATCAATTTGAAATCTTTTCTGCTTAGCCATGAATAATTTAAAATCGTTACTAACTCCTTGAACTCCCTGATTCCATACTTTCATAGAGAAGAAGTAATATGCTTTCCAATGATACATTGATTACATCAATCTATACACGCTTCACTGAGCAACACTCGCAGTGCTGAAACGTGTAAATGAATGAGAACAGCAATGCAACGATCTTTTATTTGTCATTAACACTTGGTATCAAAATGAATAATGCATATGCTGTAAATTATTGAAAAACAATTTCGTCATAACAATAGCAGAGATTTATATTCGATTTTGTTTCTTCGTTCCAATTTTGTTTATATATATTTTGTGATGAGAAATAATAAAGATTTGGACTAAGTGATTTCATGATGTGCTAAAAATTGAAATGATTACGTTTATTGTGATTCACCTCTCCATTTAAATATAGTACTTTGACAATCATATGTTGAAAATGCATTTAATTATTCAGCCCAACATGTTCTATGTTTATGAATGATACAAGATTATTATTATTTTTTTAATGATTATTTGCTGTTCTTCTTTAAGCGATATAAACGTTTCTCGTTTCCATTTGAAAATGAAATAATCTCGAAACGTATGTCTTGATATATTTTTATTTTGAGACCTGTAACAATTTGTCTATATATAAAGTAATCTTTTGTATGTAGATAACTTCAACTGATATACTTTTTAAACTGTAGATGGAATATTTGTAAAATTAAGTTATGAATAAATTGAAAAGAGCATGGAAATAGTTTTAAATGATGCATCCCTACAGATGTACCGACTTTACGAGGCCTGGACGCATGACGGATAAAGCAGAGTAAGGTCATCGACATATTTTATCGTTTTATGGTAAGATTGTAGCTCAAAGATAAGATATTTCCTGTTTGCATTGCCAATAGTTTGTGTATATTGTTCATATTGATTGCTTATGGTGTTACTTTTTCTTATTGTAAAAAAACAAACAAGTTGGGTTTAAAAAATATATATATAATTGAAGTTACATGTATGAAGTACGTTTTGTACAATATTACTTTAATGACATTAGATGACTATTGCATTTTTGATTTTTCTCTGTTATATTTTCATACAATTCCTTGTGCAATTGATTAAAGCGGTGAGATATAATAATTGTTTAATTTTATTGTGTTCAGACACATTTGCAGTATTTTTTTTTTAATCTGAGAGATTATAATATTCATAAATTTAAAAGATCACTGTATTGTAACATTTAATTCGAGGTTCGTATCTATTCTCATGTTCCCATTAGTACTGAAGTATTTCGCATGGTGTAAAAGTGTATATTTGACTGTAAAAAAGGATGAGAGAAACACAGTTGTGTCTCTTTTATGTTGGCTTCATTGATTCTTTTTTAATTATTTAATAAAGCAAGCTGCTCTGGTTGATTGAAATTGGGTCTACATTTGTTTGTCTTCTGTAGTGCCACAGTACTTTGAAATTGAATTCATGTTTTCCCTGGACTTAGATTAACAATGAGTGACACACCCCCACAAACATTTGCATTAGACCTTATTGTATTTTTATTCTAAAAATTATTTTATGACAGAATCGCCCGAAGCAAATACATGTACATTATGTGACGAAGAATATAAACAAAAATATGTGTGCAAAGCTTAAAAATACAAACCTGTCACGTATACATTGTATATATTTTTTTTCTCAACAATAAGCAAGTATAAGATGGTGACAAAGTATTCTCTACACTGAGTTCACCAACAAGTTTACAGAATTATTCGCTTAATTTACAAAGCCCGACAATGGGGGTCTGGTACACCTAAACCTCCTTCCCCCCTCATTCACCCTGATTTTGCATCCAAACATGTTTTAAGTAGCAACAGGGTATCAGTCCAAAGGACCAAGATTACCATGAAGAAAAAAAAGATACATCATTTCTGCTGCAATTCATGAGATTTTTGTCCAAGCATATGCCCAAAAGACAGGGAAGACATTAACAAGGAGAAATGGGAGGGTGGTATTTGTTTGGAGGGGGGGGGGGGTGTTTGCCCCGACATTTTCATTTTGCTTACAGCTTACCAATATACCATTCAAGCAAAAAGAAGAACACAATTAACCAAATTGAAAAAAAATCATGAGCTTTTCCCCAGCAAATTCTAAATGTAACTATACTTATACATTCATAATAAAAGACTTTCTTCTCAAGAAACTAAACAAACAAAAACAATCGAATAAAAGGTTATTAGACATCACCATAATATTAGAATCCACATAAATGTGTCAAGTACTTTTACATTTCTTGTATTTGTTACATTATGAACTAGATAATTAGAATGTTCAATTTTTAGTAGATTTCCTCTTTTGTGGTTAATACATCATCACTCTACTTTATACGTAAAAAGTCCCTATTATAAAAAACGATGACAACTAGACAAAATTCTTCATTACCATCTTTTTATTACTGTTACAAACTTATATCCGATCCACATCCGAACAAGCCTTTAATGTGGACATACATATTATATACCCAACAATGTGTGCTCATTGATTCTCTCAGAACAGATGTATGGTGAACAAATTTTGATATACTCAATATGCTAATGTAATCAGTCGAATAGTATTCTGAAAATCTTTTACGTTAGTGATAGAGGTATGTTAATTATCACAACAGATCTGAATTATGACAACATTGTTAAGATGAGATAAAATGGTGCTAAGGTAGTGACTTCAACTTCTTTAAAGATAATCTGAAATTTTGAGTGAAAACAGACCATTATTAATTAGAACAATTGGGTAACATTGGTCTGATTGATTCCTTAATTCTTCCAACTACATCATTACAATTTAATTACATTTTAGGTGAATGTAAAACGTCACAAAGCAATGAATTGGCTCTACATACCATTTCAAACATTTCAGAGTTGAAAGCTTTGAAAAAGCCTGTCTTATGTCTTATTTTCATGGAAAAACAGTAGAAGGAATATAATAAGTAACATTTCATACAAAAATTGTGTAGTTTTTTCATCACCTTCAGCAATTTTACCAAGTCTCTTTAAAGCACCAATAAAAGTCATTTCAAATCGCAAACAAGATAAATTCGTTTGCCCTAGTGATATCACTTCATGTCGGAAATGGACAATTTTCAGGGAATTTCTTGGATTTTAATGAATAAATATGCATGTACTTTTTTTGTTGGAGGGGGAGGGGGGGTGGAAATAAAAATATTATTTTTTTGAAAGTGCAAGAAATTTCATGAAATAGAGTCACCTTTGCACTTTGTTCACCAAAATTAAAAACGTATGTACAATGTTTTAGGGTACTTGGTGTGAAAGTGTTATATGAAACGCCTCTAATAGGGTTATATCTAAACCTTACCTTGTAATAGTTTTCACGCGAACGGGGGTAACATTTTGTGGAAAATGTTTTTGAAAGTTTGTAGAATTGAATTAAATAGCATATGAAGTGATACCACGGGGGTTTCCTTGAATTGACAGACTCGTAGACGAGATATAAGCTCTCTCGTCCTAAGAGGATATACTAAAGACAGCAGACTGACGCCTTCTGTGTTGGTGTGGGTCGTGGTTAAAATGACGACTGGATCAAATAAAATTGATATGAAATTGGCTCCTCTAGATCATTAAGGCTGATAAAGGCTGCTCGATTCACCGTGTACGTCAGGTGCCTGGGGTCTGTACATCGACAGGCTCTTGAGCTTGTCAGATATGATCACAGAACAAGAGTATCAAATTTGGCATGACATAATCGTACTCGTTTCTACCAAGGGAAGAATTCTCGATTTAATGAAATTTCAATTGTTTTGATTGGGTTAAAATCTCTCTTTAGTACAATGTTTCATATTATAGAAAAGAAGAAAAATATACTCGCTGTCTCGGTAGTAACTTATCGAAATGGCAACAAAGTTGCTAATTGAATTTATTTATTTAAATATATTTTATATCCAGGCAAGATGATAACATACAAATCATAACAAGGTTGACAAAATGATATAACATAAACATAATGATGTTTAGCACTAGCTAATGCTTGAGGATCACCTAAAAGAATTTAACAATTCTGTCTAGAGGCTCTCCACATTTGCTGGTGCATACATACAACAAAATATAAAGATAAGGTCAACATAATTTATAAATGAATGTGTAACTGAAATTAACCCTCATATTATTCACATATGAGGGACATCTAATTAATAAATGAACGACGATCCCTAGACCGTAACTAAAAACAAAAATCTATTATTTACTTGTGTTTGCAAACTTTAGCTGAACTGTTATTGCAGTATTCTTTTAAATGTCACAAGAAATTTATGGATATGATTTTACTAAATGATAATGCCATAAATCAGAGTTTCCATTTTAACACTTGTATTACAGTTGGGTTTTTAAGATGAAGCAGACAAAAAGTATCAAAGTTTGTTTTTTTTGGTTTTAAGTTGTGAAATTAAATTTAGCAATCATTTCTATAAATTCCTCTCAGAGAAAGTATATTCTTTAAGATGGGGTTTTGGGTTTTTTTTTTCTCGATACCAGTGATTTACAAATGTTGCTGAAATGACATGATTTTCCAGTATTTTTTCTCAATTTTTTTTGTAAGTCATACCTTATGATGTGTTTGATGGAAAATTAGAAATTCCCAAATTTACAGTCGGTCGAAAAATATGCTTATTTAGAAGCCTTTATGTCAGGGTCTGCAGAACGGCCGGGCTCGGGGGCTCGAGCCCCCCTCACTTTTGAAAAAGTGTGTTAAAGAATTTTGTCATTTGTCACTGAAAAAAGGCTTTGTGAAACGGGTCCCAAGTCTTTACTCTTGACAAACAATCTACACCGATCTGTTTCCTAAAACTCACCAACGCAAGCAGGTAGAGGATGGGACCAGTTTCCACTTTCCTGACAATCCAAGAAAGGCTCTCCTTGTAACTGATATCCCTGGTTGCATCCTATGAGCACAGAGTCACCTACTCTGTTCCCTCCCATCTTGATTCCATGGGTTGGGGGATGTAGTTCTTCACAGGTCGCTCCTAGTTTCAAAGGAAACAAAACAACAAACAAGCAAAGAAAGGATGCAATGTCAAATTGAACAAAACATAACGTATCATACTTTCTTTCACAGTACAAGAAACATTCTACACCGATAAATCTACATATAATTGGTTGGGGGTCGCAATTCTTCACAGGTCGCTCCTAGTTTCAAAGGAAACAAAACAAACAAACAAGCAAAGAAAGGATGCAATGTCAAATTGAACAAAACATAACGTATCATACTTTCTTTCACAGTATAAGAAACATTCTACACCGATAAATCTACATATGATTTGGTTGGGGGTCGCAATTCTTCACAGGTCGCTCCTAGTTTCAAAGGAAACAAAACAAACAAACAAGCAAAGAAAGGGTGCAATGTCAAATTGAACAAAGCATAAAGTATTATACTTTCTTTCACAGTATAAGAAACAATCTACAGCGATAAATCTTTCTATAATTTCATGTAACTAAATCAGAACTATATGGTCATGATACATGTAAAGCATGGTTTCTATTTTCATGATATACATGAAAATATTTCCTACTCGACCATGATTATGTTAGAATGAAGGTAAAACAACAAATACCAAAAATGATATCATACTCACATTTTTATTTTGTTTTCCTGCAATACATGTACAAATGCCACAAAATTCATTGTGGGGGAGAGATAATGTTTCACGAAAGTGAGTGGGAGCTCAGGTAACAAGGACACTAATAAGAACTGTACCTTCACTTAATTTGACGATCATTAACAAAATTGTTTCCTCGGTTATGTAGTATATTTTTCCAGATTGTTCTTGAACTGTTTTATTCCTGAAGATATTATACCTTGGACCCCGCCCGTTGTCGGCGCGGTCGCTACGCTCCCTCGCAGCACAGTCAAACATACAGGTTGGCACTTCAAATACAAATTCTTTCGTTTTGGGACTTCTAATAAACTATTTGAGAAGGCCTGCTATATAAAATTAATGCTAGGATGTGTTCTTATTATGCACAAATAAGCCTTTCTTATGTAAATTCTTTTTCATTATAAATAGATGTGCAATGATAGCCATAGATGGGGCTTTAGGACAAAGTACGTCAAAGACACAAATTGACTCTTACTTTTGCATGTTGGAACAGGATGTGACCACTCCCCAAACACGCAAGTCATTCTCCTTGCCCCATTAAGAGTGTAGTCATCGTTACAAGTAAATGTGATCTCCTTGCCCATGTAATATAGTTCATGTCTCCAACCGTTGTCATAGTCTTGGATTTCGCCATTGGTTGGTGCCGTAGGACTGTCACAATATATCTCTGCAATGTAATCGAATTGAAATATAAGAATGTGAATTTGAAGAAAAAAAAATTGTCTACGAAATTCTTCATTCTCATTCAATTTTGAGCTACAATGATAACAATAATGCTACAGCATTTATTATGCGCCGTTGATCTAGTAAACTGTTCTGAGGTGAAGAGGCAGATTATTACCCTGGCGCGCAATCTTTAATACGAGTATTGATCCTGTGATTCTTCTGTGAAAAAGCTGTTTGTATTACAGTGGATTCACAATCCACAGCGCCATCTAAGTGTTAAGGCGATTTCACGCGATGCATTATGGGAAAATGTCGACAAAGCTATCAGCTGTGGCATATAAACCCTAGGTAAAGTAACCAGAATTTTGGGCGGGGAGGATTTGAATAGATTTTCCGGGGTAAAATTTTGCGCTGATTAAAAAAAGAACATCTGTCTTATTGACCCTTTTCATGTCGTTATGGACATTTGGGTCACTTTTGGACTAAAAAATGACAATTGCTGTTACATTTTCAGTCGGATTCAAATTAGTGGGTGACATCTAAAGCCTATATCAAAATGTGCGCTGATATCAGAACAATCTATCCCACTGAAATTATTACACAGTTAGGACCACTTTGGCCATTCCGAGCGGTGGCTAGCGTTTTGCCGCCACTGTTAAAGGATTTCGACCCGCAAGCTTATTGGCTTATGGGGGCGCTGTTAATTGTGAATCCGACCTATCGCAAAAGGTTTATAAATGTAGTAGGCCTATACATAGGAGTTTTTCAATATATACTGTGAGGTTTTGGAATGATCAAAATGAACAGAAATTGTTTCTGCCTTGCTGAAAATGCACAGTACACAAATATGGGTATAACGGACTAGATGAGCTATGGGGGTATAAACGGTTGGTCCAAACATTATAACCTACATCATATCATATTCATTTTTTTAATATGAAGGCATTTGCGCAATCCTTTTCAGGATATATTTCTATTATGTTCTCCAAAACTGACATAACCTTATGTTCAATGAATCTGCCAGAGAAGTACAATGAGTCTTTTTCATGTAATTACTAATATATTTTCTCTGAAGCATGGAATGGAAATACATGGAAACAAAATGAACTGCATAATATCTAAATCATTATAAGCATATAAACTGCAGACAAATCAAATTAATACAAATATTCCACCGAGATATGACAAACATTTTAATGTACTTCTCGGTGCATGTGATTGGTTGCTATTGACTAATAGGAGATTGCTCAAAGAGTAAAGAGAACATTAAATGGTATTTCTACACCTTGTAACTCATCTATGGTCAATTATAGCTCAGGAGCTCAAGTTCAAAGAGGAGTTAGGAGACCAATCACTTCCATATCAATTTACTCTATATGTTTGGGGTTCCACGGCATTCTACCATATTCACGTTATAAATCTCAAAAATAAACTTTCTGTTAAGAGATCTTGCCAGTTTAAATGCACCCTTACTAAGTAAAAACAACTTGTAGACAAGATGACAAATGTTTAAGCGCACACACGGGCACAGAAGCTAAATCCAGGTTAACTTCTATGCGGTTCTTCAAATTAAATCATTTGTTAAAGCCATTATGCTTCCTACTCTTCACCAGTTGATTGTCTCTATATGGTTTTTTACTAGGAGGGTTGTTATAACGTCTTGTAATGAGTAACAAGCGACTGGTCCTCTTTAATGGTATTTAAAAAAATATAGAATAACACTCCAGAAACTATAAAATAAAGTTTGTAAAAGGATGAGGATGTGACTCATCTTACCAGCAAACTGAACATGGACAGTGTGAGAAAGAGTAGAGTCATCAGACCGGCAAGTGAACCGCCCAGAATGTGACGTACGTGGTGTGTTTAGGCTCATTACCATTGTTGATGGGCCATAATTATCCCAATATTCAGCAGTCTGCAAAAATGACAGAAGACAGCATAAAATGAAGTTGATTTCCTACCGTCTGTTTGGAACCAGAAGGGCATTATTAAACGCATATACTTCAACACAGAGCGATATATTCATACCAAATATTGTCATTTCTAAAGAACCAGTTTACTATCTCACCTGCTAAAATCCCCCATTAAGCTAGACAAAGCTGTGTTTATACTTATGTATATATTTACATCACTTCGTAATATAATATTCGATATTATTAATATCATTTTTTATTATTCCTTTGTCTACAAAATGTTGTTCTGAATACCTAACTCCCTGCAAAGTTCCGATTCTCCCATGACTTTTTCTACCGATAATAACAGCAATAATTTGACATAACACATCCAACAACATCAGTCAACTCTTCTGTTCTTTGTGTTTAGGGTTTAATGATATCACACTACAGCCAATGCTCACCGGTCCATATTGATTATCTGATTCAAATATTGCCCTCGCATTGCTATAGTAAGGTATGCGACAATAAATGTAGAGCTGACCGCGTGGATGAATGACGATTGTTCCATCACTCCTGACTTCAAGGGGCTGGTTATTTTGAAAGCTGATCCTAGTGGCTGCATTAACTGGAAAAGAATGATCATGGTTAAAATATTAATTGAAGCAAGAATGATAGTCCACAGGCAAAAGCCTACTGCTTACTAAAACTATGCGTACTTACGTTGAGAAATACACCCATCGCATGTACAGGTAACAATTATTAGATTAAACATAATGGAGACTTCTGATTGTATAATTATGTCTCAGAGTTAAGAACTTGTAAAAGTCTCAGGTTGGCTTCTTTTTTTTTTTTACTTGGAGTTAGTTTTAGGATTAATCTTTGAATAATCATCTTAAAATAATACTTTAGAAGTCCAATTTGATGTGTTGCACTTTTTTCTGGGCAACAGACTCATTGTATACTCCTATAAGTATTTAACTCATAAAACAGCATTACCATTATGTATTGCACCTCTTAGTCCAGACAAAGTTTCGCTATCCGATGTCATGAATAATTAATTACATTAAATGACATGAGGTTATCTTGTAAAAGATGATGTTACATTATGAACAACAGGGAGTTATCTCTAGGTTAAGTTCTGTGCATTGCTTCTTGTTCAGTAATTTCCCCCTTATATTCGTTACATCATGGTGACCATAAAAATTATACTAGGAATACTCTCTAGAGAGTGGAGATGAGATGGTGCAGTACATTGTTCGCGAATGAATCCGATGACCGAGTTATAATAAATGTATAGCGCTTAGAGCCTGTTTTTCGTGTTAAATGCTCTTTGAATCCAGATTATTATTATCATTATTTACATCATATCCATTTAAATATTACATATACATATGGGAGAGATATGACTTTTAAGGACAAACAAATATTTTTGCAAGTGGCCTTGCCCAGGTTGAAAACATAGGGTCTACATGATCTCCATAATGTCGGCATTTTTTCTCTTACCACATCTTGGTTGCTCCCCCGTCCAGCCGCCATCAAAGCAGGTTCTATTTGCACTACCACGCAACACATACTCTCCAGGGAGTGAGCAGCGAGACACTAGGAACGTCCCTTCAGGAAGCTCATCATGTGGGTAAGTAGCAAGGTGGTTCGTCTCTAGTCCGTTCACATACTGGACAACGCGAGAAATGTATCCAGGCCTAGGACACAACCTCGCTATCCTTACTGTAGTAGTCAGAAGAACAAAACAATTACACAGGTTAAATGGCAACAATATGGTGACTTCTGTAAGGCTGTCGGATAAATTGTACTTCGGAGAAGTTCTGAGAAAGCATATGCCCTATATGCTTGATTCTTAATATCTAATCGTTTTATCTCTAATCCCCAATTTATTGCAAATTGCAGTGTGTGTGTGAGTGTGTGTGTGTGTGTGTGTGTGTGTGTGCTCGCGCGTGTGTGTGTGTGTAATTGGGTTTTAACAGACGTGTATCAATCAGATATGATTATTTATGATCACCATCCAAAAGTCGTGACTCAGTTTCGAACAAAGGTCGCCTGAGCCAGTTTGTGGGCGAAGAATATCGTTTTAATCTTGTCTTTCTTTCAAAAATCTACACTGTTGGTCATAATGGTGGAATATTTATTTTTACCCCAGTTTAGGGAAGGATTTTAAAAAACTATTTATTTCTAATAGATCTACATAATGGCATACATTCTCAGATTGTATTGAATATTAATTTGCGAGTGTTTGTTTTGCGTGACTGCTTAATCATATGTGTGCTACTATGCTAATCAGCTAAGGGACCTACGTCCTTAACTCATAATTGAGAGTAATGAGGATTAATGCCTCACAAAAGGGCACTAATATATAGCTGATCGACAAGATTTTTATACTGGGGCCTCACAGTAACGAGGCCATTGCTTAGCCCCTGAATCATGACTGTACGCAGTGTTTGCTAGGGTACGCGGCCCCTTCCACAAATCCCCCAAAACGAAGAAAATGCAATAAATTTTCAAAAATTCATTGCATTTTCCCCCGGCCCCCAACAGGAAACATTCCTCTGTAGGGCCATGCATTATGGTTCAAGGCGTGGTCACACAGAGGAATTTTTCCTGTTGGAGGCCGGGGGAAAATGCAATGAAATTTTGACAATTTATTGCATTTTCTTCGTTTTGGGGGATTTGTGGGGGCGGCCGCGTACCCTAGCAAACACTGCGTACAGTCATGATTCAGGGGCTAAGCAATGGCCTCGTTACTGTGAGGCCCCAGGATAAAAATCGTGTCAATCAGATTTATTAGTGCCCTTTTGTGAGGCATTAATCCTCATTACTGTCAATTATGATTTAAGGACGTAGGTTCCCTATCTGATTAGCATAGTAGCACACATATGATTTAGCAGTCACGAAAAACAAACACTCGCAAATTAATATTCAATAAAATCTGAGAATGTATGCCATTATCTAGATCTATTAGAAATATATATATTTTTTTTAATCCTTCCCTAAACTGGGGTAAAAATAATTATTCCACCATTATGACCAACAGTGTACTTCCCTCTTTCTGAAGACTGCATGGTAGACACAAAATAAACATCATATCATCTTTAAATTTGTTTTGTTTCATAAATAACTCAATGGCCTTTAACATCATTGCCTGCAGATCACTTTTTCACCAATGTAAATGATTTAAAAAACCGGAAGATACCCATATTATTATTTGTTATTATACAATTACATAAGGTTAACATTCATATATTTAGCCTTTAAGGTGCCACATCAGACAATTGGCACATTCAATAGGGTGCCATGAGTGCTAATAACCAAACATTTTCCCGAAATTCTTTCCATATTTATGGTTTGACTTAATAACTTTTGATTCAGAGCTGCATAAGTAGAAAGGGAAAAATTATGCGCACTCGGCATCTATTTTCGCTTCATGACTATCTTGCGTCTGATGTCAGGAATGTTAAAAAGGAAATTAAAATCTGGCCTTTCTTGCCCTTTTACAATATTATATGAGCGGTGTCTCACTTCCCGTTTTTAATACAAAGGTAATTTTAACTTCTTATATTGTATCATTATTTACCATGAATATGGTCTTACCTTTACTATATATATTTGTTGTTGTATTTGACGTTATACTCTATTTTTTTTTCTCTCACTTTATTAAATATGTAAACATTTTGCATATCTATTTGTATTTTTACAAAGCAAGGAAAGATCAGAGTTTTTGTTTTTTATCGTAACTTATTTCATATTGTTAGTTTCACTTGTTTATCATTGTGCTTTGATGTTAATATGCTTTATTTATTCAATTTGTTGTCTTTTCTTCCTACTGTTATATGTATGATTTTGTTTTGAAAATTTGTATATATATGTGTATTTTTATTGAGACAGAGCCTTAGGGAAGACCCGTTTTGAATCTGAATGAGATACCCTGTATATATATGTGAAATGAATAAATAAATAAATAAGCTGTTTATCTTTCCTGGAAAAATGATTTGGGATCATTAATTATTTAAGTCAAAAAATGACAATGAGAGCAATTACATTCAGTCCACTTAGAACAGACTCCAAAGCTCTTTTTCAAAGTCTAAACATTTTAAATATTTTTCAACTTCATGAACTTCTTGTATCAAAATTTATGTATGATTTGGTAAAAGGTTTTTTACCACACTCTTTAGTGGATTATTGTCAAATGATACAGCACAGATATGCAACTAGGAGAAAAGAAAGTGGCTTACTTTATCAACCAAAATGTAAGACAACGCAAGGGCAATTTTGTATTTCGTTTGTAGGTACAAAGCTGTGGAATGATCTGCCAGATGAAATTAGATTAAAAACATCAAGGTTATCTTTTCGGAGACATCTTTCCACCTACCTTCTATGTAAATGACGTGGGCTCAATCCCACCCCCTTCGTTTTTTCCTTTTATATTACTTGTCTTCCTTTTATATAAGTATACACTTCCTTGTTAACGATTATAGCGGCCTTAAGCTTTTACAGGATTTGTGCATGTACGAACATGTGTATGATTATTTTGATTAATACATCCTTTTCATTTTTATGAACACATTGAGTATTTTATTTCTCCAAAGATTTGTCTTCTTTCATTATAATGCTTTAACGCTTAAGCTTTTTTATTTTTATTTTTTCATTTTAGTAAAGAAAAAAAGTTACATGATATTGTATTATTTTGTTGTATATATGTAAATACAAAACAAACAAGTTTTACATTCATATGTAAAAACAAATTAACAGAAAAAATCTTGCCAAAGAATGGAACTAGGCTCGACTAGCACTTGTGCTAACTTCTAGTTCCCATTAACAACTTCACCTAAACATAGTAATATACATATTTACGTATATATCTTTTGTACATTTAATAGTATGCAGATGTATGTCTAAAAAATATCGTTTTAAAACCATTACTGTTCAATCGACATTACTCTTGTGTTATGTATACATGTACCAGTATTATTCTTTGCATTATATGATTGTTCATATGTACTGTCATTATTGTGATGTGTTGTTGTTAATAAATTCAAATTCAAATTCAAAGGATTAATCTGACACTGAATAGGGACCCTGGCTATTCAATGTCACCTATCTTCGCTCTGGTGATCTCGAGGCAGCAGACAGCAAGAAACTGTGTGAAGAAAGATTTTGTTTGAGAAAGTCCACAGGAGTGGATGAAAGATTGCCTACTCAGAATTTAGGTTGGTCGAAGCTGAAATTACATGGTAATTTGTTAAGGGGTAACCAAATTCAGTCAAAATTTGTTTTTTCTTTTGGCTAGATAAAAGCCAGTCTATGGTATGTATATGGTCATCAAAATGAGCAATGTCTTGAGTAGCTTTTCACATGGCACCATTATCCATCATGCCGTGAAGTGCATGGTGCTTCAACATTATTACCCAGGTCATAACTGAGCAGCCCAAGAAACTAGCACTCAAGCATGTCAGCTACCCATTTACACCTGGATGGGGAGTGGTAAATGTAGAATAACATCTTGCCGATGGGCACTGCGTGGTGGTGGGCTGGGACTCGAAGCCCATACCTTGTGATCTCTGGTCTGGTGACAGATCCACTTCACCAAAACGTCTCTACAACCAATCGTCTCAGCTGCGATATACATAATTATGTAGCAGATGTTGCAGCTAAATTGACTTCTTATCTACGCAAAGTCCTCAATTTCTGTTTACCTCTCGGTCTGCATTCTGGTGTAGAACCTATCCATTGTCCATTGACGCACTCTCTCTCTGCAGTTTCTTCGATTTCCCAGCCATCACTGCAGCTATACCTGACCCTGGTACCATGTAAATATCCTTGTACCCCTGGTAGTATTTCAATAGTGCTATGAGAGGCGTTCGCTGGATGTCCACATGAGACTACATCAAAACAATGTCAAAACTGAATTTGAAAGTATGAGGATATTTACAGCCCATACAAGCAATGCATCAAGATTCGAACGATTTAAGTTTATATAATCACAACAATAATCACAAGATATACTGTATATACAGGTAACAACTAAATTGTTCATACCGCTTATACATTTGAGGGTTTTGTGTTTCTTGTAACTCAAGCATAAAAGGTGTACTGGTTGAAAAATGGCGTTTGTTGAATACTTTTTAATTGTAATCTGTTAGCTAATTAAAATTATAATATGTCACCTTCGAAGAAACATACAAATCAATTTGTCGGTTCTAGGACACCTACCTCCTGGACATCTACCCCCGGATAACCATCCCCAGTCAACTACCCCATCTGTTACAAATAAATACAGTTTGACAGGCAAATTCTGTTTAAATATCTCTTTTTGAGAACTGACACGGGGGTTTGTTACATTTATTGAATGCTTATTTGTTGGTTGACAGTTAAAAGTATAGTTCCTCGGTGATCTTGAGACTGCACTGTGCTGTAGAGTACAGTTTCAAGATCACCTTGGGCAATAGTTTTAACCATGCACCTAAAAGCAGTCAATAGTTGTATAATAGATGGTGATCATTTTCTCTTAAGCCTTACCTCTCTGACATGTTGCCGTGACGGACCCGATCCAGCCACCTTTATAGCATCTTGGTAGTCCTTGGCTTGTACTAAGCTGAAACCCGTGTTCACATGAGACACCAAGAAGCATACCATGATAAAAGCGAGATCGTGAAGGTGTCATATGATCTGGGAGGTCTGGTGCACTGCAAGATGCTATCAGAAGAAATCATAGAGTATAAAATAAGAAACTGGACAAAACTGCAGTCATGAATATCACTTTTGACTGCAAAGCAGTTAAATGAAAAATATTGACAGGGCATAGTCCTACTTGCGCATGCAAAGCAATGACACAATGGTTGCGTATGAAGTTGGATATGCCTAGTGAGACACCCACATTGCTCTAAGTAGGGTATTTTTTTCCTAGATTTTTCATATAAATACATTTTGACAGGCACATTTTGATCGAATATCTTTTTTTGAGAACTGACACGGGGGGTGCGGTATGATTATTAACTGCTTATTTGTTGGTTGACAGTTTAAAGTATAGCTCCTCGGTGATATTGAGACAATGTGCTGTTGAGTACAGTTTCGAGATCACCTCTCAAGCCTTACCTCTCTGGCATGTTGCCGTTATGGACCCGCTCCAGACACCTTGATGGCATCTTGGTAGTCCTTGGCTTCTACTAAGCTGAAACCCGTGTTCACATGAGACATCAAGAAGCGTACCATGAGAAAAGCGAGATCGTGAAGGTGTCATATGATCTGGGAGGTCTGGTGCACTGCAAGATGCTATCAGAAAAAAATCATAGAGCATACAATAAGAACAAAAATCAAACTTTACCTGATACTTGGTACTTACATGCACATCTGTGTTCTCTTCACACTACTGTAAACGGTAAAATTTGGTATAGTCTCAATATTTCAAATAGTTTTTCCTCTCATCCAGCCGTTGATGCTCCTCATCTCATTTCCATTGTATTTCCATCACCTCCGCACAGCATATGACAATTTTGTTCATCCTTCTCTGTTATTCTGGCATTTAGACAAGGCCTCGTGTCCGATAATGATATCTGGCGCCGAGCGAATAGAAAGAGACTAATCGCGAAAACCCGAGTGAACGCAAGAGCGAGTGGCGTCAGCCAAGAGGCCTTTAGTAATTTGGTTTGGATTTCTTATGTTGAATTTTGTTTCTGACTGGAGTTCTCTACCGAAATGGTAGCGTCCAATCAGCGAACGTATCATCGCGTGACGTCAGCATATATTATCCATCATGCACAGTACATTATGCGTAGTACGAATGGCGTAAGGACTAAAACCACTGACCTCTACATAGAACGAAAACGAGTTGGAATGGTTTATTTTATATACAGGGAAAGTCCAATTATCTCACTTACACTTGTTAGCTCAAGTCATCAGATGCTTCCTATATTATGGTATTTTTGCCTGTAAAATAGATTTGAATGTGATATTTTGTATTTATCATTGATATGCTTATCTCATCAGCAAAATTTATTTACTTCTTTTACATTTGCTTACAAATTCAAAATGTTATATATTACATTATATGTGTTATTAATTTTGTTTGTAAACTTTTGTTATTCGGCTAAACGCCGAGATGAAAGTTTTATTTGAAATAAACCATTTTGAATTGAATGAATTGAAAAAAATGTTTTGACAATGAACGAATCACGAACGAAGCCAACTGGGAGATGGCCGTTCCGATTGGTCAAAAAATCCAAAGTTATGAATAATTCATGCAGAGCAGTAAAAGCCAGAATCCAAAAGGCCTCGAATCATGAACGAAGCCAACTGGGAGATGGCTGTTCTGATTGGTCAATAAATCCAACGTTATGAATAATTCATGCAGAGCAGTAAAAGCCAGAATCCAAAAGGCCTCGTGGCTAACGCCACTCGATCGCGCGTTCACCTCGGGTATTTAGATCTCTATTCGTCGCCGGCTAGGCTCATCTCAGCCGCTGATTGGGGTGGGAATAGCCAGAGTCACGAGGCTTTGTCAAAAGGCGTCTGTTATTCAGGACACTCGCCCATGCCCCATAGTCCTACTTGCGCATACAATGCAAGGACACAATGGTTGCGTATGAAGTTAACGATTATAGATGTTCGTAGTGAGACACGCACATTGCTCTTAGAAGGGTAACTTTTTCCTCAGTAGACTTTTCAAATAAATACATTTTTGACAGGCAAATTTTGTTCAAATATCTCTTTATGAGAACTGACATGGGGAATGCGGTATATTTACTGACTGCCTATGTGTTGGTTGACAATTAAAAGTATTAAAGATATTATGTCCCATTTGCAGACCAAAAGATGAATAGGTTAGATTCCAACGGCATTTGAAAGATAATTCTAATTTAGAAGTTCCCTAAAAAAAGGGATCTTGAAAATGTCTTTAAAGATAAACTCCAGTTCTGGTAAAAAAAAAAAATTAATTCTCACAGAATCAAACGAAACTTACACTGAATGTTCAAGATTACAAATAAATGACATGTGCCAAACAATTTTGGAAGAAAATGTATACTGGCTGAGTAATGAGCATAGAAAGACAAGGAAATCAAGGTAGTACTAGCCCGACACCATGTGTTGTGTCCCATATATAGCTCTCTGTGTACAGTGCTTGTTACTTTACCAAGACTCGGTCAAATTTATTATGATTTTGATGACTCCAGAACCTTGCAGTGCACACCAATACTTACATGCTACATGATTAACTGTTTCTGATCCTTTCCACACCTTTTCTTTCACAATGCAATGGCATTACCAGTACTAAAGTTTATCTTTAAGTGGGAAAATAACGAATATCAGTTGTCGAATCGACTTAAGAGCTATTGAGACAGTAAGTAATAGTCTGATTTTCAGACCATTGTACTGAACGGTCGTACGTCTTATGATGCGCAAAGATTAAATCCGTTTAATGTTTGGCCATTTCAAGAAGTGGGTTATTGATGTAGACAAATGCTCATGTACCCTTTACAGCTCATTTTATGTATGTTATTACCACAGAAGAAAAATAGCCAGTCAGTCACTCAATAGTGTCTGACAGTGAAGTCCAGCAAGTGAACGGGTTACCTGGCAAAATTTGAATATTAGGACACTGCGAACGTTTAAATTTCACCGATAGGACATATTCACAGATAGGACATACATGATATGTTCATAATTCCTGCAAAGTTCTACAGAATTTGATGTTGGCTGCAAAAGGGACATAATATCTTTAAATTCCTCGCTGATCTTGAGACTGCACTGTGCTGTAGAGAACAGTTTCGAGATCACCTTGGGCAATAGTTTAACCGTGCCCCTAAAAGCAGTCAATAGTTGTATATTAGATAGTTATCCTTTTCTCTCAAGCCTTACCTCTCTGACATGTTGCCGTTACGGACCCGCTCCAGAAAAAAAATATTGACAGGGCGTAGTCCTACTCGCGCATACATGCAATGACACAGTGGTTGCGTATGAAATTAAAAGTATTAGAGATGTGCGTAGTGAGACACGCACATTGCTCTAAGAAGGGTAATTTTTTCCTAGACTCTTCAAATAAATACATTTTGACAGGCAAATTTTGTTTGAATATCTTTTTTTGAGAACTGACACGGGGAATGCGGTATATTTATTGACTGCGTATTTGTTGGTTGACATTTAAAAGTATAGCTCCTCGGTGACATTGAGTCTAAGTGCTGTTGAGTACAGTTTCGAGATCACATTGGGCAATAGTTTTAACCGTGCCCCTAAAAGCAGTCAATAGTTGTATAATAGATATTGATCCCTTTCTCTCAAGACTTACCTCTCTGACATGTTGCAGTTAAGGGTCTGTTCCAGCGACCTTGATGGCATCTTGGCAGTTCTTGGCTTGTACTAAGCTCAAACCCGTGTTCACATGAGACACCAAGAAGCATCCCATGAGGAAAGCGAGGTCGTGAAGGTGTCATATGAACTTGGAGGTCTGGTGCACTGCACGATCGTGCTATTCGGAGTAAATCATAAAGCATAAAATAAGAACAAAAAACATAATTACAATGGAAGAAAACTTTGCGTTATATTTGGTACTTAGATGTACTTGTGTGTTCTCTTAACACTACTGTGAACGGTTACATTTGGAAGTCATAGTTTTTCAAAGAAAGAAGAAAAATTGAAAAAGGAATAGGCAGAGAGAGGGAGAGGGAGAGAGAGAGAGAGATTGTTTGTTTGATTTTGGGGTGTTTCAGAATGGTTTTCATTAAAGTTATTACGCTATATTTCTGATATTATTCTTAATATTTCTAAACATTTCAAGGAGTAAGTTATTGTGCAAAGTTTCAAAAATGATTAGTGTTACCAGAGGATTCTGACTTGTTGTACAGAGTGCCTTCTGCTACAATTCTCTGTTAAACAAATTTCATTTATAGAGATTTTGTTATTGTATTTTTCTTCTTTCCCAGCTTTCCATGCTTTCTTACGTCATTAATTTTGACGTGATTTAATGCTGGGTCATTAACAACCATCAAAAATGGTTTGAAAGCCTCAAGTTTGATTCTAATTATCTTGTATTACAATTAACATTTCATTTGGTATTACAGTTAAGACCGCTCAAGGGAGACATGAAAAGTGGTCTTTATAGGCAGGTGGTCGCTATGGAGCTCTCACACTCTGCCGTGTAGGCCTACCGTCCACCTGCCGGGTATATTAAAAAAAAAACAGAGTCCAGAACGTTGGGTTTTGAGCGAACTTGTCCCCGGCCGCAAAACATCATAAAATTAATCTTTTCACCGTTTCGTTGCCATCTTCTGACCGTTCTCACCGGGCGCATACCGGGTGTTGAACGTGCTTCTACCGTCTTCACCGCCTAGATTGACTTTTGTTGAAAATTTTAGCCGTTTCCATACCGGGCCAATACCGGGTCTCGAACGTGTGCACCGGGTTTGTAGCAGCCACCTACCAGTCACTTAGCGTCCCCTCACCGCTCGGAGCGTCCTGTGAGCGAGTCCCCGGACTACTGACGTCATGACACGACTGCCATAAATACCCCGATTTGAACGGCAACGTTCAGTTCGCTCTCCATTTTTCATCACCGTTCTGTAACGGGTTATGAGCGTGTTGTGAACGTGTTCATACAGTGTGACCGTTTTCATAACGTATTCATACCGTCCTCATATCGTTCAACACCGTCCTCTTGCCGCTTACTTGCGGCCGGTGCCAGCCGGCCAAAGTTTTGAACATGCCCAAAACTTTCGCCGGGTCCCACCGGGTGTAAATAAGCGCCAACGCCCTATTAACGTGTTGCCCGCTTTGATAACGAACCACCATGTGCCCTCGCCGTTCTCCACCGTCCGCAGACATTTTCGCGCACGGTGGCACACGGTAGGCCTACACGGCAGAGTGTGTAAAAGAAAACTTTTTACTTCCACTTCAATGATGGTCGATTGGAGTTAAGTATGATTGGTACATCGGAACAGAGGATCCGAGTCCAATATGATATCCTTCAAAATCCATTGCTTTTGTATATTCTCTAGATATTGCATTCGGTGACATGTGAGAAACTGTGGTTTTGAAGAAAAAGAGGATATACTGTAATGCAAAGTAACACATGAATACATAAATAACAGAAGTATTACCTGTATTAATACAATTTGGAATGCTTGGGACTGCATTCCCGCTATCACACCAGTACCTAGTGTCGTGTTCTCTCTCATAGCCATCATTACAATAGAAAGTCATGTGTTCACCATTGTTGTATATCATTTTACCATCTGGCAGAAATCCGCCAGAATATAGTCTTCTAACAGTGCACCGTGACGTTTCTGAAAAGAAAAGACATCAATGTACCACAGTCTTAGGAAAATCAATCAATAATTGTTAAATACCCGGTAGGAAGAAATTCCTTGAATGCTTGAGCACCGTTTCATGGTAGTTTGGCTAAAGCCGGGGTAATGATTGCAGAGCCCTCAGAGAGAAGAGTATTAATACTGATGACGCTACCCTGGGTAAACAAGACATATTGTTATTAGTTTTATTACCATCAATAGATTGCTTAATTATCTATTCATATATGATCATACAACCTGGCATGTCATACATGTACCCCTAGACAAAGCTTGGCAACAACTAACATGTCAATTTAAAATAATGTGAGTTAAACATCCTTCAGGCTCCAAACAAAGGATATTTCACGAAGCAAAAAGTCATTAATTATATCATAATAATTGCTTGAATACAACAGAGTCTCACATACCAGTCATTTACACTCTCAGATAATGTTTTATACACAAGGATGAATAAAGGTGTTGTGGTACCATGGATAAGTCTCCTGCGGACCCACAAGGTATGGGATCGAATCCATGTTGCAGCTGTTACACCACTCCACTACAACACCACTGTACATCTTACAAAATCCTAAGATGGGGAGGCATTAGGACCATGTATTTAAACAAAAAACAAAATAGGCCTATGTATATATATATATATATAACTCAGCCGATAATTACCACTTCATATATGAAGAAACGTGAAGGGATGTTGATTTCAAAAATTTGACGACAATGTTAATATATTTTTTTTTTAATCCATAAGGACCCTGTATATTTACAGGGAATGTGGGACGGGTTTGCGCATGCACAATATCATGAATTAATGTGCGATTGGTCGCGTTGTATAATAGTACAAGTCTTGAAAATATCGTGATAGTCCACTTACGGCCATTGACGTTTTGAAACAGGCAAAGAAACAGTCCTATGCACAGGAATCGATAATGATAACTCTTTCCCTCCATTGCTTGTCGATGTACTAGACTCTAGCCTCAATTATTTTGTAAAGAAAGGAACCGTATTTCTAAATGTACAGAATAGGCGTGGCCACGCTCCGAACGGTGCTCGAAGATGGAGAGTGTTGATTGGATAAATATCATAGGAGAATGTGTCAATCAAAACATGTGTTTCATATCCGTCAATATATACATTGCTTTAATTCCATGCATTGGGTTGAAGTCAGTGGCGTACGCAGGATTTTTTTCAAGGATGGTGTTTGAAAATTGAAAATCGCGCCGACCGATATTTCGCATCAAACATTTTGGTTGCATGCTTGTTGGACTCATAGAACCTGTCAAAAATAAGAGGGAAATAATATTGATCTTTCTATGAATATTTATGAATTATAAAGAATATAATGTACAGTAAGCCTACAAAAATACATTTTAGAAAGTAATTGGGACCTACTAGTTGATTTGTGTGAAGACGTTTGGTTTTCAATCGAATTCGCTCACTGCAGTGAAGTAGCTAGGGGCGAATGAGAACTGATCAGATGGTGAAAAAGGGGCGAACCCGAAAAAAAAAAAAAGGAGAGAGAGGGATGAGGACATTTCCTGCAACAAACCATACAAGATGATACGATCCCTTTAAAGTAGACATTCAATGATTTTAAATATTGATTTAATTTGTATCATTGCAAAAGGGAAGGTTAAATCGAACAAGGTTATCAAAACTTTCCGGGTTATTTCTAGCATTTTTTTGTAATGATCATGCCACTTTCATTTTGAATTAATTTATGTAAGTGTTGATTTTACAGAGGGTAGAAATGATTAGAGAACAGTGTGATTCCATGATAAACCACAACATTCTATCTTTCCTTTTCGTCTCTATACCAGGCACAATAACAGGATTCACTTCCGCGGAGATTGTCATCTCTTGCTAACTCAATAACAGGATAACGAGAAGTCGATCACTCTTGATTTCTTTCCGGAGAGCAAGGAGTGTATAAGGTAAAATATATCAAAGGGGGCATCTCTCCCGCCGTGAAGAATTTTGAAAAGTGAGAGCAAACCAAACCAAATATCAGAACAGAAATAATCACATCAAAGCCGGGCAGTACTTATTGAATAAAGATAATGGATATAATGGATATATATATATATATATATATAGAGAGAGAGAGAGAGAGAGAGAGAGAGAGAGAGAGAGGGAGAGAGTGATAGAAGGGGATATAGAAAGTGAGCAGGAAGAGGAGAGAGAGAGAACGAGGGGTGGGGTAGGGGAGGGAGTGGCAGTTAACGAGAATGCGCATACGGCGCTTCTGAATAAACACATTTTTATATTAAACATAATTATGAGTACAAACTTGATATTCTAATTACCCATTGACATTTTGAAATAAAGTGGACGGTTTAATCGCCTATCCCCAAGCCGACCCTATCACCACATGCTGGTGAGGGATGTAAAGCCAAACAGCTAATGTGGGGATTTTCCTGATTTTGTTTTTGTTTTAATGACCTATGTAACCCGGGATATCCTTTGTACTGTTATAGATATATTGACTGCTATAAGAGGCATCGCTGTTACCATAGGCTCAAGGGGGCTTTACAACCTGCTTCGACCAGAGGGGCCATAGCACGATGTAACGTCCCCGAGAGCCAGTACAGAAACAGCTTTGCCTCGAATACTAATGATATCTGTACTAGTTTATAGGAGGGATTAGACCAGGCCTTCTCAACTAGTTTATTAGAAGTGCCAAAACGAAAAGAATTTGTAATTGAAGTGCCACCCTGTACGGTTGACTGTGCTACGAGGGAGCGTAGCGACCGAACCGAAAATGGGTGGGGCTCAGTGGCGAAGCCCTAACGGGGGGTAGCAGGGGCAGAGCCCCCTGAAGCTGGTGGATTTAGCGCTTTCTAAAGGCCAAAATGGGGCATTTTTAACACCATTTCATTCCACAATATAATCAATCATAATTTCATATTGATGTGAACAAAATAGTGCGATTCCTGGGGACAATTACACTATATTTATATGTAGTTTTTTGTGTGCAATAACACGGGAAATGTCAAAATAAAGTGAAAATCAAACAAACAAAAACAAGATGTTTCTAGAGATTGGCAATGTTAAAATTGGTATCCCATCGTAAGCTAATTGTTGTTCAGACCTTAGGTTTAGATTCGTATAAAATGGTAAAACACGATAAATTCCCCTTTCTTCCTGTTTGTTAAGCAGGCATTTTGGGCTCAAATTTTGATTCTTGATTTAGCTGAGTATTTAATTCTAAAATATGTATTTTCTTTCTTTCTTTCTTTTATTTTGTTGTTGCAACAGTCGTGCGCCACTCCGACTGACCGCAAGCGCACACAAGTGGCGCACGCACCGCCAGTTGAGAAGACCTGGATTAGACTATACCCTGCAAGGTCACTGGACAGGTTGTTATCTCATCAACTCAGCTCTCGATTACCATAAGAAAAAGAGGATCGTGGGGGACCAATGGTCACCGATTACGGATTGTTTATATATAGAGGGAGCATGTAGCCACAAGTAGGACAGTGTGGCTATCTTTTATATACCGAATTCACACAAAAACGACAAAGAATTCTTACCTTATTCTTTTCTTGAGTAAAGATTTGTTAAAGCTTATCTGCCATAGTTTACAGGAGGGATTAGACTGCCCTGCAAGCTCACTGGACAGGTGGTTATCTCATCAACTCAGCTCTCAGTTAACATAAGAAAAAGAGGATCATGGGGGACCAATGGTCACCGATTAGGCATTGTTTGTTATATAGAGGGCGCAAGTAGCTACAAGTAGTGCAGTGGACCTTTAAGACTTCATATAAAATCTGAGACGCTGTCTGTTAATCTGTTACAATAAAACTGTTAATCTGTTACAATGAAATTGTTAATCTGTTACAATAAAACTATTAATCTGTTACAATGAAACTGTTAATCTGTTACAATGAAACTGCAGCTTCCTGTACTATGTATAAAAAAAAGCAGTAAAGGAGTAAAGATGGCTTGTATTTTTAACCCAAAAGAACATAACATAATAAAAACCTGAATTAAATCACATATTGAAATTCCATTCAAAGAAAAGGAAAGTTAGCAGGAAAAACATTGCGCATGCCACCTAGCCTATATTTATCAAAGGAGGTTTTTATAATAGCGATACGCGCATATCGTGGACATATATTATGAGAAGACATGAGCCCCTGAACGCTGGAGTACTATGGGGGGGGGGTATTCTTATTCGATACCAGTGATTTACAAATGTTGCTGAAATGACATGATTTTCCGGTATTTTTTCTCAATTCTTTTGTAAGTCATAGCTTTTTATGCGTTTGTTGAAAAATTAGAAATTCCCAGGTTTAAAGTCGGGCGAAAATATGTTTATTTAGAAGCCTTTATGTCAGGGTCTGAAGAACGGCTGGGCTCGGGGGCTCAAGCCCCCCCCCCCCCCCCTCACTTTTTTAAAAAGTATTTTACAGAGGAAAGAAAGAAAGAGAGAGAGAAAAAAAAAGTGACATTCCAATGTCACAAATGGTCATCAAAATATGCTCATCTGACCGTAATTAAATGCCTAAAACCCCATAGCTTCCGGGGACTCTTCCCCCTGGACCCCATCAAGGGCCCTAAGGCGGCCCCCTGGATGCTCATCTGACCGTATATAAATATTAAAACCTCTGAGCTTTCGGGGGCTTTGCCTCTTAAAGAGGGCCCCTGGATGCTTATCTAACCGTAATTAAATACCTAAAACCCCTGAGCTTCCAGGGGGTCTGCTCCCTGGACTCTCCGCCAATTAGTGACCTGCCAGTGTCACAAATAAGGTATCTAAATATGCTTATTTGACCGTAATTTAATGCCTAAAAACCCTGAGCTTCCGGGGGCTCAGGCCCTGTACCCCACGCCAATTTACGCTCTACCTGATCGTTAATACTCCACTTTGAAAAACTTTCCGCGGGGCCTCTCTGTAACGTGTAGGAGAGGTGGTGATGCAGATTTTTCTACTGCCCCCCACCCGGCCGTTTCCAAACGCTTTTGCTCATTACGTCACTGCCCCGGGAAAGTGAGCCCCCTGGAATGTTTGCCCCCCCCCCCCCCTCCCCCCAATCCCAAACTGCTTCCGGCGCGCCTGACCATAACCATAAAGACATCCAAAAAATTATTAAAAATACAATAATGAATATGGAAAGGACCTGTAGAAAAGCAACTTCTTGTGAGCCACAATGATTCAGAGGTTTATCAAACATTTTATTGGCATGTGCATAATTATATACGCGAACAAGATGCGGTCGAACAGCGAAGGTCCTCCAACAATACAAACATGCCGTATTTCCATAGCGCTGATCGCAAGAGGGCAGCATGGTATACAAACTCGGTGTTCATTTCAAGTTCCTTGACTAATTAGGTTTCAGCAGGCGCGTACGAAGGGGGTGTTTAGGGGGTTAACCCCCCTTAATTTTCTTAAATAAAAATGAAGACCCCTTACCCCCTCCCCCCTCCCCCTCCCCCACCCTCCCCCCTCCCCCCACTAGGCGAATTATCGGTCAAGACGATTTTCGAATTTCGGGGGGAGGGGGCAAAAATGTATTTAAAAAAATGACTCACTACCCCCCCCCCCCCCCCCCCCCCCCCCCCCACTGAGTGAAATATCGGTCTGCGTGATTTCCAAGTTTTCAAACACCTTCCTTGAAAAAATCCTGCGTACGCCATTTGGTGTTAAGTATTAGTTTTATATTTCATTCCATTTCAAGTACAATTTGTTTTTTGTGTGATAAAATAACAATCAATAATACATAATAAATAACATAAAAATATTCCATTAAAAATGTATTTATTTTAACGAAAAACTGATCATACATCTCAACATAAAATTGAATTGTGCATTATTCAAAATCAAATGACGAGAAACATACTGACCTGTATACGTTCGAAAGAATAATTAACATAGGTGGTGGTTGGACAATAAAAAAAGTTTACCATATGTAGAAACGAAATATATAAAAACATTACGAAGATAAAATATATGTAGGCCTAGTCCTTAAACATAATTACATAATTTTCTCGTATATATGATACAAAAGTTACAGTCAGTGTGCGAATATTGTGATATGGATAATTATGAGAGAAAACAAGTTTGATAGACGTATTTGATTACAAAGTAAGCTTTCCTGCTTATTATTTTGACGATCGTCGCTAAATGCAGATGATTCACCTTGTCAAAATTGGTAGAATTCATTCGTGGGTGTTTTTATATGAATAATATTGACTTGTCAAGATATTTCATTGAGCAAATGTTCTGTTGTACGAAGAAAAAGTGATAGATAATACAATAACGAAATATATACTGCAATTTTTCATTCTCGAAACTGCTTTTGAGATGTTTTCTTTCGGTTCACTTCTGGGAGACGTTTGAGAACGTACGCGGCGGGTTTTCTTTTATCTTGTTTTTCTTTTCTTCATTTATCAGGTTTATGCATATCATTTACCGAACACAAACCCAACTATGGTTTGGGGGAAATGAACGTTGGTAAACAGAACCGAAGCCGAATATGATGGTTGTACTGTCTTGTATGGCAGGCCCTATGAGAGCCAACTAGTCGTCGACTGCCTGGTCCGTTCTTGTGTCGCGAATCAGCTGAGAAAAATAAATCGCCCTCAACGCATATCTATTTTTCCCGACGGATGTATTTGGAGATCGTGCGATTAGTGGAGACATTGCACTTTGTATGGGATTCGCGTAGTGAGCGGGGGGGGGGGGGGGGGGGGAGAAGATCATTACAGAAAAAATATTTTAAAATAGACATAATCTGAACTAAAGCAGTGCTGGTTGACAGATGAGGACAGAGAGGTCCTGAAACAAAATCATCTTGCAGCTAAGTACGCTCTATCCAACCGGTTATAATGGCAGTTTCCGTTTCTTTCCTCATTCCTAACTTTTTCTTCCTTCCTTTTTTCCGAGCTTATGCCTTGATTACATTTGGCCTGCGAGAAGTTATACAAATTTGGAGAAAAAAATCGTAAGCGCTTAGCCCGTAGACATGTCGTAGGTGGCATTTCACAATCCCCGCAAGGGCATCGCGCGGAGGCCTCGCGCTGATCGTTCAGCAAACGCACGATCTTTTGGTGAACATGGGGACCAAACGCTCAAAACGGGCACGGTAGCCGCACGGTCGTGGCGCCTTCTCCGCGCAACCTATGCACGGAAGCTGCACGTGCTCCGTACGATTTCCGTGCGGAGGCTGCATTACCTTCCTTCACTCTCCTTTTTCTTACCTTCATTTTATCTTCTTGCCTCCTTTTTCCTTTATTTTAATTATTCCTCATTCTCTTCTTTTTTCTCTGTTTTCTGCTTTCTCTCTCTCTACTCTCTCCTCAATTCCCCCTTTCTCCCCTCCCTCTTTTTTTTAAATTCTCTTTTTCTCTCCCCCCCCCCCCCCTCTCTCTCTCTTCTTATTTCATCTCCTTTCTTCTCTCTTTCCCTTCTTTCCTCCTTGACTACTCTCTCTCTCTCTCTCTCTCTCTCTCTCTCTCTCCATATCTCTCTCACTCCATCTTTCTCTCTCTCTCTCTCCACTCCCCTTTCCACCCCCTCTTGTCCTTTCCTTCTCCATCTTTCAATCTTCTCTTTTAAACTGATATCGACGCGTCGTTATCTCATCTTCCCAGAAGCAAATAAAATCTTGCAAATCCATTCTATTCTGGTTTCCAATGATTACCCATAGACGTGGTCAATGACCTCGCCATCAATGATTAGCAGAAGAGAGTGAATGTTATTCGATGTGATTCACATAATCTGGTAATTCTCCTGATTGGCTGCCTACGGTCACGTGATGTGGTGAACGAGCCTACCAATAATAGTCCTAGAGCCATTCAGGATCTTACCAATTTCTGGAGGGTTCAATGAAACTTGGTTGCAGAATGTCATCAAAGTGAAAGTTAAATTCGTCAGGTGTGGTAATCTTAATCATCATGAAACAATCGCCAACTTCGATTCGCTAAAATTTGCTGAAATTAGTGGATTTTCCCCTTTCAAATTTATTTATTGATTTCATCTCTCATGATCAAATTCTGTCTAATAATATGTATACCCAAGCTCTCTACTTATTTCTATATTTCTATCACGGCAGAGAATATTGATAATTGATTGTAATACTTTTTGAAGGATGATTCACCAGTTTAGGAACGGATATTTTGAAATTGGAAGTCGCATAATTCTGGTGCAGCTATCAACACTTTTAAAGCATAACTTTCCTTGTCATCACCTGTGTCAATGAATGTATAATTGCGACTTAATCAATATTTTCCTATTGGCATTACAGTTGAACTAGGTTAAGATATATGTTTATTTTGCAAACGAGTATTCGTTTGTACCACGGCTTTTATTGCTGTGTTATATCTCTCTCAATGTACTATGGAATTTTATTTTAACTGTTCTGTATAAACGTTATGCTTTGTGATGTATTTATGTTCATGTTTATTTAGGGCCCCATGGAAGACCACGGCACTAATGTCCTTTGACAAGACATTGATCTACATTTGCCACTCTCCACCCAGGTGTTAAATGGGTACCCGGCAGGATGCGAAAGCTAATGTGCTTAGATTAGCAAGTGTGCGCTCGTAAAAAATGACGCATGGCTGGAATGCTCCCTAGGGAGTGGAGAATGTGCATACATTGTGTGCGGGTAAGCCTGAATCCGATGACCGGGGTAATAATATATATATATGTAAAGCGCTTTGAGAAGGCCTTCGGTCCTGAAAAGCGCTGTATATAATAACTAGCTATTATTATTATTATTTACTTATTGATGAATGGGCTACCCTGACAAAAGATTAGAAATAAATAAATAAATACAATAAATAGATATTAAGTAGCTCAAGCGCACCATAAAAAGAGGTTGGATTGTAAAGAGGTCAGCAAAAGGGGAATTTGATTAATGTCTCTTTCTGTTGTCAAGGTTGTTGATTATCAAGTCGTTTGTAAATTACAAGTTTCTATATCGGATGCGTTGTATTACGATCGGTTCCCTGATGGTGGATCTAAGTTTAGAAGATGGACTAGTATAGTCTCTAAAGGGAACCTTTCTCACCTATTGCCGGGAAGGTAAATGATGGAATCGAGAGGGTGTGTTTAAGATTCACTTCTCAAACCTCGTTTGTTCTTTATTTTTTCTTGCAAACAACAGGAACCGATCTATTATGGTGAACTCCCTAGCATCAAGTGTGCTATGCAAAGGGTCACGATGTGCGCATGACAGCTAGCTGAAGACTTGTCCTAAGCTCGGGCATCCGGCAACAAAATGCTATGATTTGAGCTCAAGTGTGAGTCACACCTTCGCCTCCTGACGCGGTTTAGTGAAGGCCCTTTCATCGCCTTGAAAGTGAACTACCTTTAATTTTGAAGTGATCTCTCCCCAAACGTGACGGATTCAACTAAATGTTTCCATTCTACAGAGTTGATTAATCTGACATAGCTACAGTGGGAATATACAGATGTTTACATCTCTCTGTGATCTTGTTTTCGATGAGGAAAGGAATACTTGCTCTTTGGAAAGTGAGACGAGGCTTGGCTTTTATAGAAGCTTCTTGTTGATATCCTGCACGCAATACTTTGGAGCAAAGATATTGCTGTTTGGAATACTGCAACAGCACTACCATTTCGCGATGTTGTCATTTATTAGCGTTCATCAACACTGAATATCGTCTCTGAATCTTTGAACTCGTGACGTCATCGCAATTCTACTCATCTTGAAATTAACTTCGTTATCGTCATATGTTCAATTTAATGCCTGGAAGTAAATGCCCGCTTATCATTGGAGGACTATCTTGGAATTTAACAAAACACACGGTATTTCTGTATTTTCGGATCAATATTAGACACAGGATATCAACAATGAAATAAAGTACTTTGAATCGGAGTTGCCAACGCAATAAGTCTCTGTTTTACAAACACAACCAACTGCATTCGTTTATAGTTGATGAAATCATATTTTTGAAAAGGAATATCATAAAATGACGACATACAATCGATCACAATCACAGCCTGGATATCGCTCATCATGGGTCGTTAGTCGACCAATCAGAGAATCATCTCTCGCTGCATCACAAAGACATTCTGCAGGTCAGATATGAATTTGTATACATTTTTATTACAATTCTTTTAATTTTTTAAAAGTTGGCTTGTTTACAAACGTTGCTGAATGTGCAGACTCTCACTGAGAGTCTCGCTGCATGGGCCAACAACCTTATACAATTTGGTTGATTTATAATGATCAACAGTGATTTTTTTTCTTCAGATTTGTTAATAATTACTGTACATAAAACACAAGTGGTATAATGAAAAATGGGCTTAATCTTAAGTTGCCATTAATCAAGTTAATATTCATCTTAGTTCATTAAACTATGGCGTGCAACAGAAGTCACGACCTATTCCATCAAGTTAATTGGCGGAAACCAATGCCAATAAGATCCAAACACGTGACCGGTACTCTCGTCAATCTGCCAAAGATAAGCTGTACACAATCTTACATCTTTAAACATTAAACACAAGTCCGAAATCGCGATTCTGCGTGGTTGAAAATTGACTTGCGATTAAAAATTTTGGGAGCCCCAAATTAGTTAAAATTTGATAGCAAATTTTCACTTAAATTGTATCATAATGTGAAAGAGGATTTAATTTAAGACACACTTCTGCAAAGAATTCTCTCCAAAAAATATCATGGGATATTTTAATTTGGCAACAAGGTTAAAAAGTGGTCGTCAGATGTTCCAATTTGCTAACAAATATATTGAAATTAAAGCCAAACCTCTAGTGGGGACGCCTGATCTATACGTGTTCAGACAATCACACACTCTACATGGGCATAACCTACGAAAACATAAATGGGTAATTCCATCAATTAAATAGAGGAGTGAGATTGTTAAGTGATTTCCAAGCATAATATTGCATCCTCATACTTAACAATCTCACTCCACTGTTTAAATCTTTACTCAGAGCAAAATACGTGTTGGTTCCTTATATAAGTGGGCCGCCAAAAATGTCACAAAGTAAGGTCCCTAATTTATGGCACTACCAAATGAATATAGTTATGGTCAGTTTCTTTTATTTCCATGGGCAAAGTTTACTGTGGTACACCCTTAAAGTTTTCACTAAATTATCTGAAGCTCAAAATATCACCGTTTCGACATAAAGACTGACTGTTAGTCATGGCCATTGGACAGCTGACGTGGTCATATCAAATCAATTCCTTATTCACCTCATCCTAAGATCGAGTGAACTAGCTTTTTGCCCTAGAGATCAAACCCGGCCGTCACCACCCATCCGTTTCAATGGCATGATGGTTCAAAAGGTTCAATGGTTCAAATTTATTTCCTCTTTCTGATATTATGATGACCATAACATGCACTGATTACAATCTTTAAATTTGTGACGATGGTATGAATGTTTGATTTATCTGCAAGTCATCTTTATTTGAGGTAATATGGATACAAATCTCTACTTTAAAAAAAAAAAATCAAGATTAAATCATTACTTATTTTCAAAAGCCTCAATAATTTGTAGATCCATATTTCTCCCATAACTTTGTTAATTCCTAGGTCCTACCGCACAAACGTTTGTTATTTTAGCGGTAATTAATATTGTATTAATTTGTATTACTTGGTACGGTCATTGCATGCATGCACTTTATACGAGACTTCTGCTTGTTTGTAGTGTTCTACCACTATAGCAAAGTGGGCAATAAGTTAAGTTTATTGACACTATAACATTTATTATCGTTAATTACATATATCAAATTTTATATTTAAGTGTGCATGCATTCATCAAACTATACTCTGTCATTTATTAGGTAGGTCTTGTATATCCTTTTAAAAACAGGATATGCTTAAAGATAAGTTTGAGCTTGATTCCTCTCATAATCCACCAAAACTTACACTGAATGTTCAAGATTACAAATATGTGACATGTGCCAAACGATTTTGGTAGAAAATGTGTAGTGGTTGAGTAATGTGTTAAATGTGCTTAACACAGGTTACTATGTGCAAATGAGAGTTGTGGTTTTTGTTGAAGGTGATTTCCAGCAAGTTTTTGTGAGGTTGTTTTTAATTAACTGGTTCAAACAATCAATCTACTGCAGAATAAACAATCCAGAATGAATTATAGCATGAAAAAGAGAGAGACAGAGAGACAGAGAGAAAGAGAATTAGACAAAGAGAAAGAAATAGGTTGAAACCAGGAAAGTAGGAACCATATTTCATCGAAACTTAATTACACCGGTCACTGTAATTACTCGCTCCAGGGCACAGGACCCGTAGGTAGATGAAGGAAGCTAAAGTTGTTTCGAGTATAATAATGAAGAACGAGGCATCTTGACACCAGATGGTCAAGTTCTGGAATCGCCAATCCTTTGAAGGAATACATGCTCACTTTATCCCTTTAATTACTGGCTGATTCCTTATGCTTTGAAGAGCATCCAATATCATAATTAGCACAAAGAACTTAAAGCTCGAGTAGGCCGAAAATTTGTAGAACCCCCAAGAATTCTGCCAACTTTCCGTAACCTTAAATTTTCATATTCATAGTTATAGCTAGAATTACAAGATTATGTTTTGCAAGTTGTGTGTATAGTAAACGTTGCTCTTTCTCATACAGATTCATAGTTCTGATTAAACTTCATTTGTTTTTTTTACTTGGTATTATGTTACTTCGAAAGATTTTCTCAGTAAATCTTTTAAAAAAAAAATTTTCTTGAATTCGTATCATTTATCATGTATTGCAAAAAACTAACAAATGTACACTTTCTATTCCTAATCTGTTTTCATTGATAATTGCACGGTTTCGTCAAAGCTTTGAACAGTCCCTTTAATACCTAATTTCGGCGTGTTTGGAGGAAAAATTATGGTTAAGAATGGATGCTGTTAAGCTCATCATAAAGCCACCGATCTTTGTCACAGTAGTGCATGCAGAGATAATAATTAAAACACACGTTAGCAGCAGGAAAATATGAACCCATATGGTTTGGGAGCCCACGGCGCCATTTTGAGATACCAACATCGCGTTTACTGGTCCTTTGTGGCGCCAGATTAGATAGACGTCGGAGGTATCAGCTTTCAAAAGTGGCTGTTTCGGGTTTAGGAACTGGTAGCAAACCATAATTCTAGTCCCATGTTTTCTTCTTGCGCTGTACGAATTTGTTGGCAAAGTCTGGTTCAGGACATTTTGGTATTGTTTTGATAATCTTCAAGCCTGTGTTTTGAACACCTCTATCATGTCGTGTATGTTACGTGATGACGAAACACATGTTGGTAAGTATCGAGCTGGATCGTAATTGTGTTTATTTCATTCTCTCTCTCTCTCTCTCTCTCTAAATATTTTTCTTAAGTTACATTTTTTGGGGATGCAAATCCAACATATCATATCCAATCTGTTAGTATTTGATATTCGCCCACATGTCTGTTATTTCATATTTTCCACGTGTATTTTCAGGAACACTTGGTGAGAGGTTTGAAGCCGGCAGAGACAGACATGGAAATCCGGTGAGTAAAATAAACTTGCATTATAGATAAGCAGAGTCTTTAATTGGTTAAACTACTCATTTTCTTGAAAAAAAACTGTACCATGCATATACTTTGTGTTTAGAGCTACGTAGTTTTGACAGTTTTGACATCCCGATCGCGCGGAAGCCTTTTCACTCCCCAGAGGAGTGACGTCCGTGATCACTCGATTTTTTTAGAGACATATTCATTTATACAAACTAATGATTTTCAGATGTAATATTGCTGGAATTGCATTTCTAATTTTCGTCATAGATAATTCAAATTTGGGTCTTGTCTGTTTAGAGTAAGAAGGACGCTAGAAGTCATACTTAAACAAGACTAGTTAACGACCCGTTTGCTCGATCTGACACACGGTTTATACTTTGATGACACATGCAAGTATAATTATACTGCATTCCCTGTACCAATGTATCCGTCGTGCTCAGGTGCAGACCATTGAAGTAATCATGGTGATCGTTTGATTGTCGACGTCGCTTTCACACCCGAGGGCGTCGTCGGTTAAGATGTATGATTGCTTTTCACACGGTATGTGGTGGAAATGGCTCCCTGCAGTATCAACTACGTTGAAACTGTATTGTACCAGTGGTACTTAGTATACCAATAGCGTGTTAGGAAATCTACCGCCGGAGGTCGAACCACCATCCCAAACATCTACCCCGTTATCCACAAAGCTATTACTACTACAATAGCAATTACCTATACATACATGACTTATGGTAAGTCATCCGGGGATGTCGTCCGAGCTAGGGTCACTGTTCTGGGAGTAGTTGTCAGGGAAGTCACTTGTATGTTAAAGAAATAAAAAAAAAAGAGAGAGAGAGAGAGAGAGAGATAAAGAGTGAGACTGGCAGGTAGACAGAGACATAGAGACAGAGAGAGACACAGACAGACATACAGACCCAGAGAGAGAGAGAGAGAGAGAGGGAGAGAGGGAGAGATAGGCAGGTAGACAGAGACAGAGACACACAGAGAGAGAGAGAGAGAGACAGATAGAGAGAGGGAGAGATAGAGAGAGACAGACAGGTAGACATAGACAGAGAGAGAGAGAGAGATAGAGGGAGAGAGAGGGAGAGATAGGCAGGTAGAGAGAGAGAGACAGACAGAGAGGGAGAGAAAGAAAGAGAGGGAGAGAAAGAAAGAGAGAGGGAGAGATAGAGAGATAATAAAATGATAGTTACTACGAAAGTTGAGTCCAAGGCAGACTTCAGTGATTAATGCAAATTATATTTGTATGTATGTTTTGTTACTGTATAGTGATGTAGAGTCTGCCGAATTCCAAACTGCTTTAACAATCAGACGAATTAATTTTGTTACAAAATATTCAAAGTGCAAATCACCGAGTTTACACAAAAACCAAAATAAGTCAATTTTTCATTTGTTATTCTTTATTGTTTATATTCCTTTAATGTGTACATGTTGTGCATTCTCTTCTTGTTATCACTATTCACATTTATTATGTGACTAACATCCCCTGCCTATATACTAATGTTAACTCGGATTGCATTCTCGTATGGACTATTTATTGACTTTTCAACAGCCAGAACCCCTCCCATCTGACTCGCGCTATTCTCTTGCCTTGTGATCCATCCCTTCCCCACACTGCATGTGAATGATTCTATTTTAAAGATGACACTTCACTATCTTTACAAAATTCATGCCCATCGCCTGCACTTTATACCCTCCAACTAAGGATTTTATAACATATTTACAGCTGCCTAGTACTTCGAATGCGATAAACTCGCTGATCTCCGAAAAGCGGAGGGACAACAACAGAGAGAGAGAGAGAGAGATTCTACTGCATGTATTTACACTTTTACCTAAACATCCACCCTTACATAACATTATACAGTTATTGACTGGCAGGGGGTGTAATATAACATTACAGAGTTATATTTCCCAAGTGGTTATATTTTCCCGAAGCGCGCAGCGCTGAGGGAAAATATGAACACGAGGGAAAATATAACTCCCTTCAGGTCCAAAGCATGTTATATACCCCCTGCCAGTCAATAACTGTTATATTAGATAGCCTTGGTTTTATTTTATTTTTTTGGGGGGGGGGGGGTCCATTTTTTTTTTGCCCGAATTTAAAAAAAAAAAAATTTGTGCAAAAAAAAAAATTATGGAAAAATAATCTGTTGAGATAATTCAAGGAATAAAAAAATTACCTTTAAAAAAAAAAAAAAAATTATAAAAAAAATTTGAGAAAAAAAAAAGAAAAAAAAAAATACCCAAAAAAGCATTTTTCGGGAAAAAAAGAGATAGTGGAAAAATAAATTTCAAGGGGAAAAAAATTCATTAAAAAAAAATTTGAAACAAAAATGACCCTAACCCTGTTTTTTGGTGACATAGAGTCCTCAAGAGGGCGACATGCATTGATTAAAAATATATTCATTTCACCGGCCGGTAAAATATAACCAACCAGGAAAATATAACAATTTGGATCCTCGCAATTGATATCATGTGACGAGCTCTGGACCAATCACATCTCGGTATCTGTCTAAGCTATCTAATATAATGCTTTCACTTTGGTTTTATTATACAGTTATTGAAATTGAAAATAAAAATTAAATAAAATTGAAAAAAAAAAAATTCTTACCCAAAAAAGCAATTTTGGGAAGAAAACAAAATTTGGAAAAAAGAATTTCAAGGGGGAAAAAAAATTCATGAAAAAAAATATTGAAAAGAAAAAATGACCCTCGGTAATGGTGTAATGTGTGTCATTGGTGACATACAGTCCTCAAGAGGGCGACATACATTGATTAAAAATATATTCATTTCACCGGCCGGTAAAATATAACCAACCAGGAAAATATAACAATTTGGATCCTCGCAATTAATATCACGTGACGAGCTCTGGACCAATCACATTTCGGTATCTGTCTTAGCTATCTAATATTGTGTATTATACAATGCCTACTAAGATTCATGCAACCTCATTGGTCAATTCTTGATCACATGACATGCGCTAAAGTACCATTGAACGGCACACGCAAAAAACTGAGGTGCTAAATGTTGGGTGCTGAGTGAGATTCTGCACTTGAAGTACCAAAATCAGCACTTGACGGGTAAACTTTAACAAGGAAACCGAAACGTGCTGAATATTTGAGTGCAGAAAACGAGTGCTATAACAATATGCAGCACTTAACATCGAGTGCTGACTGCATAACCTGATCTGATTGGTCGGTTAGTATAATAGCTGTTACCTTGTGAATATTTGTTTTTGAATCAAATTCAGCTAAGAGATTCTTACATTCTTCATTCTCCAGGTCAATACCCAAGGCCTCAAAAGTCTGAATAACTTTGCTCCTTAAACTGTCAACAACATCAGTATTCAAAGCTGTTGCAGCAGATAACACTCTGTTTGTCATAGCATGGGTCATGTTGGTGTTTGATAAAAGGGAACCAATGAAAAATGCAGCTGGTCTCACTATGAACATGACAGACAATGAAAGCGGACAAAATATACAGTTCCTCAGGTAGACAAAGGAACATCCCTTGACTGCTATTATGTAAAATGTGTAGAACAGGTGAATATGCATGTGACACCTGTTCTACACATTTTTACATAATAGCAGTGAAGGGATGTTCCTTTGTCTACCTAAGGAACTGTATATTTTGTCCGCTTTCATTGTCTGTCATATTCATAGTGTCTTGTACTGTCATTATGCATTGCTCCATCTTGTTCTTGTAGTAGGCCTATCCTATCATCATCATCATCATCAAATGCATCATCTGCTGCAGGATTATGCACTTCACCAACAGCAACACCCAAATCAGCATCAACTAGACCCTCCATACCCTGTACAACTTCAGGTTCAGGTTCTTCTTGTGGATGTTGGTTTAATAAATGTTTCCTGTAAGAGTTGAAAGTGGTAAATGACGAAGGACATCCACCTTGACCACATACCAAATGTAGATGGGGCATGTCAAACAACGCATGAGTTAGCACTTGCACAAGGGCTATTCTGCTAGCACCCAAAAGAGAGCAAAACTTGGCACTTTAAGTGCACAACAGTCAGCTCCTTTGGGTGCTAGCAAAGTAGCCCGGGTGCAAGTGCTAACTCAGCACTTCGAGTGCAGTCACTATGCGAGCTCCTAAAAAGTGCTAAAATTGAATCTTTAAGTGCTAAATTTAGCACAACAGTCAGCTCCTTTGGGTGCTAGCAAAGTAGCCCGGGTGCAAGTGCTAACTCAGCACTTCGAGTGCAGTCACTATGCGAGCTCCTAAAAAGTGCTAAAATTGAATCTTTAAGTGCTAAATTTAGCACTTTTTTTTTGGAGTGCATCATTGGCGCGGAGTGCAATTTCGTTTGATCCTTTCGCACCATTGCCCTCTGACGTCACTAACGATGTACAAAGTATATGGTGAGCTAAGTGACGTCAGAGTGCAATGGTGCGAAAGGATCAAACGAAATTGCACTCCGCGTAACAATAAACATAAAAGTTGGTACGCGCGGAGCATGGTACGCGTTGTTTGCTGCCTGCTTAATAGTGCGCGCTCACTATCAGCAATTTCATCAATTGAAAACAAACAAAACAAATCGCTTAGATTTAGGCCTAGGAAAACTGTTTTAAGCCTGTTAACGTCCGAGGTGTTGTATAAAACAAATAGTGAATGGTCTTTATTCGTGCAATGGAAAAATATTTTGCATTCGGTGAAAGATGAGACGCTCCATTCAACTCGGCTGCGCCTCGTTGAATATAGCGTCTCTTATCTTTCACCTCGTGCAAAATCTTGTACCATTGCACTCATGACCATTCACTATTTGTATAGTCTATGATCACAACTTACATTTTGATATTTACAATTTATCATTCATATCATATAACAACCTGTTAATCAACTTGAATCCCACTGCTTATAGTAGAAGTGGTAGTCGTCGTCGTCGTCGTAGTAGTAGTAGTATTAGTAGTAGTAGTACTAATAATAACAATAATAACAATAAGAATAACAATAGTAACAATATATTCATTCTTGT